ATTTTTTTTTATAAAGATGATCTTGAAATGATGATGATTTAGGAGATGAACGTTTCTAATTATGTAATCTATATAGAAAAAATTCGTTAAATGAAAAAGGTGGAAGTAGAAGAGATGTAAATATGTAGAATGACAAAAAAAAAAAGATAATGTTCAAAGTGTTTCTTACTTATTTGTTTTGCAAAATGAAACTTAATTTCACTACATATGCTCCTTTTTCTAAAGGGAATTGTTATTAGCACTAAAAAAATCTCATTTAGCACTCCAAACTTTCTATAATTAGAAAGAAAAATACACTTGTGAGGAGTGTAGGATGAGATTTTTAGAGAGCTAATAACAATTCCCTTTCTAAAATATAGATCTTAATTTTCTTTTTTTGCCAAAGTTCGAGGTATCCCACGTTCCGAAAAATAAGACTAGTCTAAATTTTCAATATTGAAAAAAATGGAGATAATGTTCAAAGTTTTGCTTATTTGCTTTTTATCCTTTAGTATTCATGTATAACCTGCATGTAACTTATGGCCTCCTAGGTGTATGTAACCAATAACCTTTCTAAACGTTTGTCAACTTTGACATTTCACATTCATGTCATCATTACTGTAACGTAAAAGGAAAGCCTCACCTGCATGATTAAGATCATAAGCTCTGAAAGCAAATTTCGTTGTCTTTCTTTACTTCTTACTTCTCTCTATCTACCATTAGTCTCATACTTCTCAAGTCTATTCAACCTCTCCACTAGTCTCATAAAATACACGTGACACATAACAAAGCGAGCCATCAAAAATATGTGTCAACATATAAGAGCTACAATGCGGTTAGCCCGCCGCACATAAGGAAAATTTTAACCACTCAAAATTAGAGAGGGTATAAACAAAGAACTAAGGCATAAGCATCATTAGGGCTTTGTGAGAAAGAAATAGGAGAAAACCAAACTCTCTCCCTATCCTCTCTAATAGTCGGCCGCCTAGAGGTGATTTCACTAGCATCAAATCACTTCTAGATCGTCCATCTCTTCTTCACCTTGGTGGGGAAACTTAGAGGCTCCAAGAACTTGGAGATCTCATTCAACAAATCTATCCAAGGAGGAAGGAAAGAAGTCTGTTGAAGCTCAATCATTTATCCTTTCAATTTGTGTTTAGTTTTGGTTTACGTTTCACTAGACTTTTGAATTTTCAATGGGATAACGATTGGATTTTGAGTTCATACTTTCATTAATTTTGCTCTAGTACTAATTTTAATGCATATGTTGCTCAAATGATCTTAATTTAATAAAGTTTTTCCTTCATTTTGGGCATGGCCCACCTTTTCTTCTAGAGCAGCAAAGTGAGTAAGTCCATTGTCATGGCATGTTTAGGCACAGTGTTGGTATGTTGTCTGTTGGGTGTGTGGGCATGCTGACTGGCGTGCTATGTGCTAAGGTGACCAAGAAACTCAAAGAATTGCATCGAGCTACAAAGAGCGAGGACTTCATGACTTCAAGTATGAAAAGTGGCGCATATGTCTCTAAGTGCTTAGAGGAGCTTTGCAAACATAGATGGTTGTTGGGCCTTGTACACATGGAGTCATATGATGACACACCTCGACTCAGAATGTCCACCTAGACTCCGAATCGAGTTGTGCTGGCCGATACTAAGAGGGTGACGAAGCCATAAAGTGTAGTGACATGGAAAATGTGAATAAATTTAAACCTAAAAGTGCCTAAATATAAGAGTGCACTTGTGAGCGAGAATGAACCCATTTCACACATGATGTCAGAGCATAAGTAAAATATAGTAAAGTAGGATGAGAATCATACTATTGAAGGTAACCACCTATACCAAGATTTTCCAAGAATCATCTTCGACATGAAAGCTCAGCACTAAAAATAAGGGTGAGTGGCCCTAAAAATAAATCTTTGTAAAAACCTATCGTCGTAAAACAAGTATAGTTTTCAAAATATACATATTACATACAGTAAGAAAATACTTACCGTAGCATGCAATATCTCAAGAATTCAATACGTCATAATATTTCATAAATAAAACATGACGTCCATAATCACATAATGTCACATAAGCAAACATATCATATCGAGTGCTCATCGACACATGCTGACACACGAGTTCATGCAAAGATATCCTGACATGAACATGACTGTGTGTAATAATGATATACATTCTAGTACTACAACCACGTGAAGACTGATGTTATGCGTATCACATACGAGTCCTAATTGCCTATGGCAATCTAGGACAGGACCGACACTTTCAGTGGATCCAAAGTGAGCGTACGGTGCGATGTGAACATACATGTGAAAGACTAGCCTTGGCCCCGAGCGAGTACTAACACTGGTGCAGCAACGATGAGCATATAGCGTAAATATAATCATGCCACAATGATTCGATAAGTCTAGTCAACATAATATTATTCATGTCTGCAAATATAATTAAGACAACCCATAATAGTATGCATACCTATGCATCCCCCATGATTCATAATAATTTCATAGTTTCTATCAACACGCTAAATCTTATAAACGTTAAGCTAATCTAGGTGTATCATAGCAAATTCTTTATGAAATATATAAATGGAAACCAACAAATAATAAATACTACATAAAAGAAAAGATCCACTCACAAATCATGTCGTCGGGTCGAACCCGCCACCTAGAAATGAAATCATTTACATAAATATAATGTACTAGCATATAAACGCGTTTTTTGTACAAAGTACAACTAATTAATGAACTATTTTAAAACAATCAAATTTCAAAAAATGGAGGGCAGATTCGGATTCGGCACGTTGAGAAACTTAAGGAGGGACCTCGAGTTCCTCCACATGTAGCCACAAGATGGCTGCACAGGCAGCCACGCGTTGGCCATCACACACGCTACGTGCCGGTCACCATGCACCTTTTTCGTGGTTTCCAGATTTTGCAGATTTTCTTCCCAACTTTTAGAGCTCATTTTGAGATCGATTCTTAACCAAATTCGATGATTTAAAAGTCAATATGAAGCTAGAAATGTACAAAACCATACCAAAATAGGGCCAAGCTATGGTCGGCCTTGATTAGAAAAATGTTCTAAAGGTGGTCAGATGGTCATAGATCCTTGTTGGAAAAATTGCAGAATTTTCTTCTTCTGAGGTATTTCAACGTCAACCCTTCACCAAAATGCCTAAACTAAGTCACACATCCATAATTTCAATGAGAGATGTTAAATCTAATGTTCTCGGACCTTACCTTAGTCATAATTGACGATAACTCATCAAAGAAGATGATGAACAGTGGCAATGGCAATGCACTGTGCAGTGCAAGTTCCACGTCTGGGTTTGATGTTCATGGTGTGAACTTAACACCAATGAGGAATAACAAGGTGTGGTGGTGATTTGATAGTTTGGCTCATTGGAGTCGACGACTGATGGCGGTTCAGGACTACAATTCATAGAGAGTGTAGAGACGAGAAGGAGAGAGAGATGAGCGAGCTCAAGGCTATGTCCCTTCGGTTTTAACTTCACAGATGGGTGGTGATCTGCCGTGACGTTGATAGGGTCGTGGTACTTCGGCGACTTTGCATTTGTAGATAGGGAGAGTGATAGAGAAGGTTTGAGAAAGAGAGTTATGGTGAGGGCTGAGAAAGAAAGATGTGGAGGAGAATCAACGATGAAGGAAAAAGAGAGTTAGAAGAGAGAGAGAAAGAGTAAGACGCCTGGGAGAGTTGGAAGACACATGAGTGAGGGATGAATGCGGGGTGTAAACCCTACGTGGTACATAGCCCAAGGCCAAAAAAAAAAAAAAAATCAAATTATCTCCCATAAACGTGAAATTACTAAAACGCCTTTTACGATTATAGTTTCGTAAAATTTTAATTGTAGCTCCGATTTCGATTCCGCTTGAGCCTACATGTTTGTACCATCGAGTACTTCAAAAATACGGAAAAAATAGTAGCTCGTATGTGTCATGAAATAACGGTCAACGAAAATCAACAAACTCATATTAAGGGCATTTTCGTCAATTCACTCCATAAAATTAATAAAATTGTAAAATTAGGGATGAGTTGTTACCTATGACCTGCCCCCAACTTGTGCAAGCATGGGTATTTTTTTTTTTTAATTTTTATGTGGCCCTTTCCCAATGATCAGTGGGAAACAGGAAAGTAGTGAACTGTCAGGTCTATAGGTTCGTGTTGACTTTGTACTCAATAATCTTCATGCTCTGCTTCCCAAATTATGCACCTTGTGTTGGCATAATGATGTTGATTGCTGATCATCTTTACTTTGCTTCGAAGATACATCGATTGTGAGAAGAACAAGGTAGCCAAGTTGAATTTGTGATTGGTGTGTGACTTGGGCATGTGAAGCGTGAGGCTGGATAAACGGTGAGCAAATAGTCTTGGTGGTTTTGCAGCGGTCAGGAAGGACAATCCTGCATGAGTTACTGAATCTTCATGTCGGCAAGCCGTGATCACTATATTAGGCGTCATTTTGGTTGGTGAGGAGGATTTAGCTGGCAACTGGGAGGTCCGTATCTATGTATGCAAAATCTTCCATGGCTTGGGAAAGGTCTAAGAAGGCAGCGGTCAATAATATCATTTTCAGATGGATAAGATTTCCATTCCAAAATTTCGAAATCAGATCGGATTAGATGCATATTACAATTTTCAAAATTAGAGTAATCTCAAAAATTTCGAAACATAATTAAGGAATTCATTTATTTGATAGGTTTTATGAATATTTTCGAACTTTTTTACATGCAATTTATTGTTCTTTGTTAATATTTGGTATGTTATGTGTAAATTTGCTTAATTATGTGGTATACTAGCATGTTTATCATTTTTATTATACAAGTATGTTTAATTAATATATATAAAAAATGAACAGTTAGTCACTAAAACTAACAATAAAATACAAAAGTTGATTACAAAATACATAAGTTGAATAATTAACTAAAATCGCAATATGGGAGTTTGGACTTCTCGGAGCCCATTAGGCCCTATGGGCAAGGAAGGCCCAATAATATAATCCGTCGACAGCTAGGGTTTCGATATCACATTCAATTTACATAGAGGTTCCTCCGCGCTTGAGAGAGAGACACAAGGCTTCCCATCTTCTTACTGCTCCGTTGTCTCCGGCTCTCTTCGCTTCTTCTGCTGCCTCCGCGACTTAACAACATGGCGACCCGTAAGTACAATTCCCCATCTGTATTTTATCTGTAAATTTCAATGTCTGTTTTCTCTGCTGTATGTGTAAATTTTGGGTTTGGTTTTTGTTGATTTGTACAGCGGCGGCAAGATCGTTTCTTCAGGTGGCGGCGACAGAAGAGGTTGCTTCTCCTCTCAGAGTCGTTCAGATCGAGGGACTGGTAACTCTCTACGGCTTCCGACTTTTTATTGTTCTTCTGCTACTGTACTGCTATAGAATAATGATATCGAATTTGTTTGTAATTTTTAGGGAAAAATAAAAAACCCAGCTCAAATTTTGTTAATATCATTCGAATTGGTCAATTTTTGAGATAATATTTGTTGTGTGAAATCCCTGTTGGTTGCTACTGGAACTGGACTTGGTGGATTGCCTGATTGTTGGGTTTAATGTGGTTTTTGGTTTTTTCGAAAAACAGGTTATCTTGAAGATAATCAAACACTGCAAGGAGTTTTCGCCGGCTTTGGTCACGGGGCAACTTCTTGGGTTAGATGTTGGCAGCGTTCTCGAAGTTACCAATTGTTTCCCCTTCCCGGTATGTAGATGCAGGAGCTTCTTTTTTTGTGATATCTGAATGGCTTTCTCGCTCCTCTCTTGTTATCAAAATATGCCGCTATATCTGTATGTGTAACTTTTTTATTCAGGTTAGAGAGGAGGATGAAGAAATTGAAGCCGATGGTGCCAATTACCAGCTTGAGATGATGAGATGTTTGAGAGAGGTTAATGTTGACAACAACACTGTTGGATGGTAAGTAGTTTTGATTTGTCAAATTATTACTTCATTAAAGAAGCAAAGCATGCCAAAAGGGGTCAAATTTTGTGTTTTGTAATATTCATCTCCGACATGTGTATAGTATACATTGTGATGTATGAAGCTCTGAGTATTCAGAGTCAAGTGTGAAAAGGGAAGATATTGGTCATAAGGTTCTCATTCTCTTATTGTCCTCTGCAATATATAATTCTCTTTACTGATGTTTTTCAGGTACCAGTCTACGTTGTTGGGTTCTTTTCAAACAGTGGAGCTGATTGAGACATTCATGAACTACCAGGTAATGATTTTGCAATTATTATTTTAGTTGTATGTACATTCACATCTTTCATTTACTCACATTGTTTGTGGCAGTCATAACCCCACAGAAAAGAGTTTATGGCTAATTTGAGTTACTGAAATTTAAGAAGCTGCACATCTATGTGATTTAGAAATCTGCCTCCAAGTGTTTTTGTGGTTGGATTTCAAGTCTGATGATGGTTTTAAAACCATTTAGTTGTAGGAGGATTTTAGGATTTGTAAGTTAATTTTTGCATGGATGCGTGGGCCAGTCATATGAATTGAAGGTGGTTTTGTTGTATCCGGTTAAGGATTCAGCAGCAAAGCCAGTTTATTTTTATTTTGTACTGGTAGAGTCTTCGAAAGTTTGCATCAGAGGATGTTCAATATAGAAGAATATAGGGTATTGAGAATGCAAAATGACAAAGAAGAAATTTTTTGACAAGCTTGTGAAATGCATTTGCTCTTTTTTTAGAAGAGACAGGAAGAGTGTAGTGCTACCCAGTAGCCACACTGCTAAGTAGCCTTTAACAAACCAAAAGACTTTAATAGAATAAAGTAGGGAGAAGAGGTAATCTTTGAGGAGGAGCTTAGGTGATAGAAATAAAAAGTTCCATGGGGTTGGATGGTTTCTCTATTTTGGCATCCAAATAATGTTGCGAGGTTCTGAAAATGGACTGGTTGGTTGTTTGCAGATTTTGATTGTATTGAGGTGGTTGTTGCTATCAAAAGTTTGATTGTTATCTGCCTTTGTAAAAAAAATTGGCTCGTTGCTGTTACGTTTCAGCCCATTTGTCTAGTCTTAATTTCATGAGCAATGTCCAAGGCATTGGAAATAAGGGTGGTAGTGGTGTGAAGGAGCAACCTCACGATCCAAGGATGTTTGTTTGAGGGACACAGATCTTTGATGCGACTCATCTTCACCAAAACTGTCTTTATGCAACACACACATAAAGTCAGTTTTGGTGAACGTGTGATGCAGGCAGACATGTGAGGCAGTTTGAATGCTCATGTATGTTTGTACGAGGGACAACAGATCTTTGATGTGACTCACATTCAACAAAACTGGCTTTATGCAACACACACATAAAGCCAGTTTTGGTGAACGTGTGATGCAGGCAGACATGTGAGGCACTTTGAATGCTCATGTATGTTTGTACGAGGGACAACAGATCTTTGATGTGACTCATGTTCACCAAAACTGGCTTTATGTGTGTGACTGGCTTTATGCAACACACACATAAAGCCAGTTTTGGTGAACGTGTGATGCAGGCAGACATGTGAGGCAGTTTGAATGCTCATGTATGAGCATTTGAAAGCCCTATCACAGATCTGCTCACTGATTCTTGCACTTCAACAGTTTCCTATATGCATATTAAATACTAATTGGTATATTTTGAGTTTATAATGTGATACCCCTAGTTTTAACCTAATGTAAATTTGGTTTCGATCTTGTTTGAAATTTGTTAGGTACGAAAATGATACCATACTCCATTGAATGAAAGTCAATTAGAGCGTTTGACTAAAATATCAATATTGGAAAAACTCTATCATGGAGACTTGTTTTTTTGGCCAAACCTCTTGTTTTGGCATTGTAATAAGCACTGCTGTAGCCTTGGGCTTCCAAAAAAGAACGCAGCTAAAAGTGATTATGCGTGCTTTAGTTTCTACTGCGTACTTTTTGTATTTTTTTCTTTAACATGGCTGTTGTTTCACTTAATTACTTATGTCTTTCCATAAATTTTTTGTGTTTGAAGGAAAATATTAGACGTTGTGTGTGCATAATTTATGATCCATTGAAGTCCAATCAAGGTGTTTTAGCACTCAAGGCACTGAAGCTTTCTGATTCATTCATGGATCTCTACCGCACTAACAATTTTATGGGAGAGAAGTATGGTATCATTTTGTTTCAGTGCTATTATACAAACCTATACGAATGGATGAAAACTCATTTTGTTATTTGTTTTGTGGCATTAGGTTGAGGGAGAAAAACCTATCATGGGTGGATATTTTTGAAGAAATACCTGTAAGTTTGTTGAACTGGATTATTTCGTGCACTAGGATAATACAGTCTATAGATCCTTTGTTTTATATCAAGACCTATTTGTATAATTTCTCTATGATATCACTTTTCAACTTTTGAATGAATCACAGTTAACCTATCATTTATTCAATATGCGGAACTAGTAATCAGAGACACTTATTGATGGTCATGCCAGTCACCTGTACTGGAAAAGTAGTCAGATAATTGTTAGAAGTAGTACTTTTTCTTTTTGATAAGAGAAGTAGTTCTTTTTAAGTATGTTAGGTCTGGCATATCTTTTAGCTTTTAAAAAATGAACTTGTTATGGGTCCAAGAAATTTTTTCTTTAAGTTATTGAAAACTTTAAGGACCAAAAAGGGATGATGCGCTATTGGGCTACTCTTAAAAAACCAGAATAAAGATCTCAGATTTGTTCATTGTTTGTTATCAAGTATGTGGTCTAACATGAATATTTCATGCTCTTCAGTTTTCCCAATAAAAGGTGGTGATTTTTGGTGCCTCTTTTTTCCTTTATTTTTTTTGCCTGATGTTTGTCTGAAGGTTGTGTACGGATTTACCATTTTCTTTTGATATTTATGCTGCTTGGACTTGGCAGATCAAAGTTTCAAATTCTGCACTTATCAGTGCCTTTATGACTGAGCTGGAAGCTGATACACCTGTTGTCCAGGTTTGTATATGATATTTTTATGAGAAATTCTATATGAGTCTTGAAATTATCTTAGTAATTATATATATTTGCTGTTTTAGTGTGATTACGACCGCCTGCAATTATCCACAAGCCCATTTCTGGAGAGGAATATGGAATTTCTCATTGAATGCATGGATGATTTGTCAATGGAACAGCAGAAGGTTTGTCTTCTCCTTATCTGAGTGATCTCATGTTATGATTGCTCATTTGCATGTCTTAATTTGTGTCTTGTCTTCCAGTTCCAATACTATTACAGGAACCTGTCACGTCAGCAAGCCCAACAGCAAGCATGGATCCAAAAGAGAAGGTAATATATTTCATTTGAAATGGATTCTTTTATTCATGATATTTGATAGATTTGTTATTATGGTGTTTGGTTTCCTTTTTTTTTTTTGGGATTTTACATGTTGATTGGCAGTCAACACTGCTCTTTAATGGTTTTATTATATGTGATTGGCATGTGTTCGTTGGCTTTACAGTTTTTTGTGTACTAGTAGTTTCCTCTTCTGTGTTAGTCATTCAGTTTCCTCTTCTGTGTTTCATAGAGTGGAGAATATGGCACGAAAGGCCGCAGGAGATGAACCTCTACCTGAGAGGATCCTTCAAACCCCGTTTTCAAGCCATTACCCGAGCCTTCACGTTTGGATAGCTTTCTCATAACAAATCAGATCTCAAACTACTGCAACCAAATTAATGGGTATGTTGCAAGCAGATGCTATCCTCTTGTATTTTTAGGCAGGGGGGAAGCGGTTTTGCATGGCACTTTCATAACTACACATGATTCTTAATGGTAGTATTTCTTCTGGCAATTCTAACACGTATTGTGCAATTTACAGGGTTACTGGCCAGAGCTTCAGCAGATTATATTTGACGAAGGCGTTGCACGAGAATTGAAGTAATGCAGTGTTTCAAATGTTAGTCGTAAGGAGAATTAACTTTCCTGTTCTGTTGTTCTACCTGTATAAGATGATGAACATTTAGAGATTTTCTTGAATTCAATTTTACGAATCAGTCAAGTTTTGAGCAATATTTATGCCTTTAAACCCGGATGTAAGATGATGCTGGTCGTTTTCTATCTGATTCCGTTTCCTTTACTCTGAAAATTGTTTGTAATTGCAAATTAATCGTTGCATTATTTTTTATAAAACCACAACAATACTAAACTGATTCTTAAACTTGATCGGCCGGTTTGGTGGGTTAGATGGGATTGGGCCTTAGGGGTGGTTAGATTTGTAGGAACTTGTCAAACAAGACTTGTAATTCATGTACGAGAATAGGTTAAAGAGACCCTTTTCGGAGTGATTCATCATTCCCGAATGTAGCATACAAATCTCCGTTGTACTGTGTTTTGCAAGTGTGCTTGTTCCTATCTTCGTTCTGACCATGACAAGTCTCTGTGAAATAATTCTGATGAGGAGAAAAAAGAGGGCGTTAAAGGGCGTTAAGAGACCCTCGTGGCTCAACCCTAACACTTTAAGATCCTTTTTCAAACTTGCTCCTATTTCAAGTTATGAGATAGATAAATACCCATCCCATTGCATTGTTCGGGGACATTTCGTAGCGACTGAGGGGGTCAAAGACCAAGAAGTGTGTTAGTTATTAGTCAAGCATTCTTCTTATAGCTAGATCCAATCTCCTGGTTTCTAAGGAAAGGAAAAAGAATTTCATGTTATTCCGAGGATTAGGAAAATCCTATTGCTTGCAGCTATAACTCACTCAATTGTGTATTCATAATACATTATGTCTAGTGCGTATATTTCACATTTTGACATAACAAACAATGAACTAGACACAAGTTCACTTAACTTAGTCACTACTTGTTCCATCCAGCCCACCAAACAGGACATTAGTGCCTTGCAACCGACATGTTTATTTATCACCCATTTTTGGCACGACATTACTAGGAGTAGGATTTTCTCCTCTCCTATTCCTATCCTCTTTCCTCCCCTCCTCTCCCACATTGCTTTTTGTCTTATTGTCTCTATAAAAAAATCAATATAAGATGTTGACATGATTTAACCGTAACCGTTCAAGTAGGAGGGAAGAGAAGAGAAGAAAGATTAGAAGGGGAGAGAATCCTCCTACACATTATTGCACCCATCGATATATATTTGGAGTATTTTATGGAGAAAAGAAAAGGGGTAATGTTAGGGAAATTAAATTTGAAGACATAATTTGTTAACTAAATGATATGTCACTAATAGGAAGGAACACATGTATCAACACTTAGGTAATAAACCAATCATCGACTTTCACGTTCTTTAATTTCTAAAATTTTGTTTACAAATTTAATCGCCTTAACATTACCTAAAAGAAAATAATGAAAAATAATCACGAGCGAGCCACGTAAGCAAATTGGCTCAACTTGTTCTCCGTTTTTTATTGGAGGAGGATTTCCTACCCTCCTAATCTCTCTACCATTTCATTCCCTCCTATTTGAACGGTTACGGTTAAATCACGTCAACATTTCTTATTAGTTTTTTTTATTTATAAAGATAATAAAACAAAAAAATAATATGTGAGAAGAAATGATGGAAGGGTATAAAAATAGAGGATAGAGAATCTTCTTCCTTTTGTATCGGGGGATGAAACGATGATGCAAGATTCCTTGATTATACACAGCTTCATGTCGTTTTATACCACATGATAACATATAATAATATAAATTGATTTCTGTAACGTCACCCGTGAAGAAAACGTTATGTCGGCTACCCCACATCCACAACGAACGCGTCCAAATATTGACATGTAATTTTGTTTTTATCTACCAAATTCACACTTTCATTGTGATAACCTTCTCTCTCTCCCTCTCTCCCTCTCTCTTTCTCTCTCTCTCATGTTCGTGTATAACAGTATAAACCCCGTGAACAAGTCTTTAGCGTTACAATTCTAGTGGATGAATCATGGAGATGCTCCGAATGTTACAAGTACAATAATTTGAAACTTATTCTTGTAGTTTAAATGAATTTAGTGTAATTGAATTGTTCATTAAAAAAATAAATGAAGTTTCACTTTCTAAAATTTTGAATTGTATTGAACTAAACTTGATTGTCCCTCATCATATGAAACTGAAGTAAACACTCTAAATTTTACGATGGTTAAGATTAGTCATAACTTGATCGTGCTAACGAGTTTAAAAAAATCCGAATGGTGCAAGAGTGCACTTTACTACATTTTACCAAACAAGTCTTAGTTTAATACAAGAGACTCGTAGCTATCATAGTTCAGAGCATTTTATCTTGTATCGGATATCCTGTCTTGAATGGTAAAATCTAGTCTAGTTCAGCTAACAAACCCATCAAATGTAATGGACATAAAACTTTCATTTCTTCCTCTGGTGCTACAATTCCTTGAGGTGCAAGATTCCTAAACTCCAAGCCAACAAGGCTCCCAGCAAGGGTCGGAGGTGAGAGGAACGTCTATCGTATGCAGTCATATATTTGCTTTGCAAAAAGGCTATTTCCATGACTTGAACCCATAACCTTTCGGTCACAAAGAGGCAACCTTTCCGCTACGCCAAGGCAAAAGATTCCTAAACCGATTTTAAAAGTTAACATTGCAATGACACTAACCATTCACATTGAAAACATATGGAAGATCAATTCAAGCTTAGAAAAAACTCATTAAATACACAGAAAAAACAAAAGAAAAAACAAACATTGCATATGGTCCAATATCCTAGTGGATAAGATGTTAGGTTTCTACCCATGCGTCCATGTTCGAATCAGTAAGCCTCCATTGTTTGTGGAATTGGGGTCTTGATAATCTGCATAATTTGAACAACTTCTGCCATGGTAGGCCTGCAGGATGGAATCTGTGAGGTGCAAACCAAAGCCAACTTAAGCACTGGTAGGACTTCATCCTCTGGGTAGTCACCCATGCTAACATCAATGCACCCCAACGCATTCCCTTGCTCAAGCAAAACCCTAACATGGTCATTCAGTATTACCACATTGTCCTCCCCATACTCCACAGGCCTCCTCCCAGTCACGATCTCAAGAATCAACACGCCGAAACCATACACATCACATTTTTCATTCACCCTTAGGCTCTGGCATGCCAGTTCCGGCGCCACATAACCTAGTGCACTCTGAAATCTGTTACTCACTACATGCCGGTCTATCTTTGTCAGGAGCCTTGCCAGTGCAAAGTCTGATATCTTTGCGTTGTAACTCTCATCGAGCAAGATGTTACTAGGTTTGATGTTGTAGTGGATGATTGGTGGGCGGTATGAGTGGTGCAAATGAGCAAGTCCCTTTGCTGTTCCAAGCAAGATTTTGAACCTATTAGCCCATGAAAGAGGTGGACTTGAATGAGGTCTTTCATGGAGTTTGGATTGAAGGCTGCCATTGGTGGCAAACTCTGTTACCAACAGCTGCATCCGTGGAGTCCAATAGTACCCTTTTAGAGCGATTAGATTCGGGTGTCTTGCTTTCCCCAGAATTCTAACCTCTCTATCAAAATCTTCGAGGCACTGGATTATATTTGATGTGACCAGCTTCTTGATAGCAACTACTCTTCCTTGAGCTCCAAGTGGAATTTTGTAAACTGTTCCAAAGACTCCCTCGCCGATCTCTGAGGCCTTGTTGAGTAGGGATTCAGGACTGCTAATCCATTCCGGGGATGACCTTGAATCGAAGAGAATGAGCTTCCCCGATGCCAAACTACCTGATCGTGAAGAGCTCGAACACATGCTCTCCAAGGCAGTTTCCACAAATGCAGGCCTCCTCCTTGCGGATGCATTCAGAAGACTTATAACAATCACTCCCAAAACAATCAGGCTAGCTGCTGAAATTGCCACAATGGCGGATAAGCTAAGGAAGGTGTGGCGCTGGTCTTTTGTGGATGTTGCAGATTTGTTATGGTGTCTATGACCGCCCATTTGGTTGTTGTACGCAGTTGGATCAAGAACAAGAGGCTTAGGCACATTCAGCGTACACGGTCCCTGTAACAATGGTGAGCAAATTCCCAAATTTCCTTGCAGCGCAGTTTGATCCAAGCTCTGAAATACGCTCCCAGCAGGAAGCCTCCCTACCAACCTGTTATATGATATGTTCACAGCAAGTAGATTTTCTAGTTTTCCAAGTTCTTGGGGTATCTCTCCACTCAACTCATTGAACTCCAATTTAAGAATCTTGAGCTTATTTAGCTTTGAAATGGATTTCGGAATAGTACCACTTAAATTGTTATGTGACAAGCTCCTGAAACAAAACAATGTGACATTTCTTTTAGTTCAAATTCATAAGTAATTAAAAAGGCAAATGGGAAAAATTTAGGGAAAAAAATGGGATCATAGACTTACATCAAATAGAGAGATGAGCAGTTGCCAATTTCATCAGGAATTGAGCCAGTCAATGAGTTTCCATCCAATTGGAGAATTGCCAGGCTTCCTGAATCACATACATCCTCTGGGATAGAACCGAACAAGGCGCTGTTTCGAAGATCTAGCACCGTTAAGTTCTGAAAGAAGCCGAGCTCTGGAGGCATCCTTGACTGAAGGTTGTTCCATGACAAATTCAAGTACCTCAAGTTGGAGAAAAGTCCCACTTCTGCTGGAATATTTCCTTTGAGATTGTTGCTTGACAAATCCAACATCCTTAAAGATTCGAAGAGTCTACTGGAGCCCGGAGGAATAGAACCTGTAAGTCCCATGTGGGAGAAGTCAATTTCCTCCAATCCCAGATTAAACAAGCCCTCTGGTATGCTTCCAGTGAAAGTGTTACCCCTCAACCGAATCACCAACAAATCATTGCAGTATGCAAGAGAAGTTGGAATAGTACCAACAAGTTTGTTGTTTGACAAACTCAAATAATTGAGTGATCTGAGGTCACTCATTGAAGGTGGGAGGCTTCCGGTGAAGCCATTGTTCGAAAAATCCAAATATTTGAGGCTGCTCATGCTACCAATCCACTGAGGGAAATCACCAGAGAACATGTTATCTGATAGACTGAAAAATGTCAAAGAATTCAACCTCTGAAGTGAGTCTTGTAATGCATCAGTGAACATATTATAGCTCAAATCAATCTTCTCTAAGTGAGGACATAGTCCTATATCTGCCGGCAAAGATCCCGAAAAGTGATTGCTTTGTAACAGA